TGTAAATCTCCAGTTCCACTAAGTTGAATAGTAGCTTCTATAGGTTCATTTCCAAATCCATAAACTGTGGCTGTCAGCTTGAACACAAGGTATGCCTTATAATGTGTCATTGAAGAAAGCTTGCAAGTACTAATCATCCCATTGATTTCAAACCAACAAACTGCAAGAAGCTCCGCAACCTCAGGGAACCTGTTTGTAATTAAGCATGAATTATAGACATTAATCTTCACATATTTATTCATTTAGTTGGTGAAGACACTTAAATGCAATCAACTAAATGCTTGAATTCTTTTGGTTGGGTGTGAGTGTAACTGCGTCAGGCATGCCTTTTGTCTGCATTTTCTGTGTGGTGTGTTCATGTGTGTCTGTGTGTGTAAGAGAGAAAGAGAGAGAGGGAGAGAGACCTGGAATCTGGTACTGAGTTCCAACTCCAATAACGAGGAGTATCACCCCATGTAATTGCGAGGTCCCTGGCAGCTAGCATGTAACATTTCTTCCCACTCCTTTTGTGCAGTGAAAAGCTCTGTGCAATGCAGGTTATACAATTAAAGACCCAACTGGTTCTGAAAGAGTTGGCCCAAAAAAAAAAAGTACTGAATAGAATAGTTTGGAAAAGAGTAACGATCTAGCTTCAAAATATCAACGAGGAACCAAAGGAACGCATGAACTAACCATAGGAAGGACATAATCATCATTAATCATTACATCACCAACAAGAACATAATCTTCTAGCAAGCATATTCCAAAAAAATGAAGCATATTACATCACATCCATTAAGTTCTGTAAATTATACCAATAAAAATTTTTGTAGTTAGCTGCTTATAGACATGAATTTAGGACCATCAACACAAAAGAAAATTACACCTAGTCATGTGGCCTCCTAACAAGCCATATGCTACACACAAAATGAATGTTAAACTCCTTAAGGAGTTTGTAAAAAAAAAAAAAAAATGAAAGTGTTAAAAAGTTCTTAGGCAAAATCATTCACAGCAGACATAGAGCGGGTAGCTCAATTAGCTACACACAGCAATTGATCGAAAACGGAAGGCATTACCAGAATTTGTTTTTTGTTTTTAGTTTACAAATTGTGCTGCTTCATACTCAGTGCAAACAATGAAATCTTACAATTTACGCATGTCGAGTGAATGCATATAGGTTCAAGTGTCTTGTTGGGTGAAAAACTGAAAAGATTAATATTGTGCCTAAGATTGTAAGATTTAGGGTTGCAAGATTTTATTAAGGGTACGTTTGGTTTGAGGGAAATGGGAAACCAAACATACCTTAAGAAAACATGTATTCCCTTATTTAATTTAGTAGTTTCAATTTAAAATTTTAAATAGGAAAATGATTAATAATTGAAATTTTTTTCCTATGCATAAATTGAGTATTTTCACTTAAATTATTTTTTTTTTCAATTGTCATTTATCTGTTATACAACATCATTAAGTTAATTTTGTATAAAATTGATGAACTAGGGGAACTAAAAAGAACCAAAGAGGGAGAAAATCATCTTCCTGTGAACACAAGACACCACACCAGTGGCGGAGCTAGGAAATATTTTTAAGAGGCAAATTAAAACTTTAACCCAAAAAAGATAACTTTGTGTGTGAATTTAAAAGGTTAAAAAAAATTAAATAACATTCATTAGTCATTAAAGATATATTAATAGTAGTTTATAATGTAATATAAAAACTATTTGTTGAAACATAAAAAATATATATATATATATATATTATGTTAAATAAGTATATATTATGAACAAGGAGAAAGGAAGTAATGATACTACTAAATAAATATTTTATAAAAAATAATAATAAATCATTTTTATTTAATTAACTTTTACCTTTTTTT